TTTTCTCCATTGTATATGCTTGCCTCCTTTATCAAAGATAAGTTGACCATATGTGCATGAGTCTATCTCTGTGCTTTCTATCCTGATCCATTGATCTATATTTTTGTTTTTGTGCCAGTACCATACTGTCTTGATTACTGTAGCTTTGTAGTATAGTCTAAAGTCGGGGAGCCTGAATCCTCCAGCTCCGTTTTGCTTTCTCAAGATTGCTTTAGCTTATCAGGGTCTTTTGTGTTTCCATACAAATTGTGAACTTTTGTGTTGTAGTTCTGTGAAAAATGCCATTGGTAGTTTGATAGGGATTGCACTGAATCTGTAGATTGCTTTGGGTAGTATAGTCATTTTCACAATGTTGATTCTTCCAATCCAAGAACATGGTATATCTCCCCATCTGTTTGTACCATTTTAAATCTCTTTCATGAGTGTCATAGTTTTCTGCATGCAGGTCTTTTGTCTCCTTAGGTAGGTTTATTCCTAGGTATTTTATTCTTTTTGTTGCAGTGGTAAATGGGAGTGTTTCCTTAATTTCTCTTTTAGTTTTTTCATCGTTAGTGTATTGGAATGCAAGAGATTTCTGTGCATTAATTTTGTATCCTGCTACTTTACCAAATTCACTGATTAGCTCTAGTAGTTTTCTGGTAGCATCTTTAGGATTCTCTATGTATAGTATCATGTCATTTGCAAACAGTGACAGTTTTACGTCTTCTTTTCCGACTTGGATTCCTTTTATTTCTTTTTCTTCTCTGATTGCTGTGGCTAAAACCTCCAAAACTATGTGGAATAATAGTGGTGAGAGTGGACAACCTTGTCTTGTTCCTGATCTTAGTGGAAATGGTTTCAGTTTTCACCATTGAGAACGATACTGGCTGTGGGTTTGTCATATATGGCCTTTATTATGTTGAGGTAAGTTCCCTCTGTGCCCATTTTCTGTAGGGTTTTTATCATAAATGAGCTGAATTTTGTCAAAAGCTTTTTCTGCATCTATTGAGATGATCATATAATTTTTCTCCTTCAACTTGTTAATATGGTTTATCACATTGATTGATTTGCCTATACTGAAGAATCTTTGCATTCTTGGGATAAACCCCACTTGATCATGGTGTATGATCCTTTTAGTGTGCTGTTAGATTCTGTTTGCTAGTGTTTTGTTGAGGATTTTTGCATCTATGTTCATCAGTGATATTGGCCTGTAGTTTTCTTTCTTTGTGAAATCTTTGTCTGGTTCTGGTATGCGGGCAATGGTGCCCTCGTAGAATGAGTTTGGAAGTGTTCCTCCCTCTGCTGTATTTTGGAAGAGTTTGAGAAGGATAGGTGTTAGCTCTTCTGTCAGTGTTTGATAGAATTTGCCTGTGAAGCTGTCTGGTCCTGGGCTTTTGTTTGTTGGAAGGTTTTTAATCACAGTTTCAATTTCAGTGCTTGTGATTGGTCTGTTTATATTTTCTATTTCTCCCTGGTTCAGTCTTGGAAGGTTGTGCTTTTCTAAGAATTTGTCCATTTCTTCCATGTTGTCCATTTTATTGGCATATAATTGCTTGTAGTACTCTCTCATGATCCTTTGTATTTCTGCAGTGTCAGTTGTTATGTCTCCTTTTTCCATTTCTAATTCTATTAATTTGAGTCTTCTCCCTTTTTTTCTTGATGAGTCTGGCTAATGGTTTATCAGTTTTGTTTATGTTCTCAAAGAACCAGGTTTTAATTTTATTGATCGTTGCTATCCTTTCTTTCATGTCTTTTTCATATATTTCTGATCTGATCTTTATTATTTCTTTCCTTCTGCTAACGTTGGGGGTTTTTTTGTTCTTCTTTCTCTTATTGCTTTAGGTGTAAGGTTAGGTTGTTTATCTGAGTTGTTTCTTGTTTCTTGTGGTAGGATTGTATTGCTTTAAACTTCCTTCTTAGAACTGCTTTGGCTGTATCCCGTAGGTTTTGGGTTGCTGTGTTTCATTGTCATTTGTTTTTAGGTATTTTTTGATTTCCTCTTTGATTTCTTCAGTGATCTCTTGGTTATTTAGTAGCATATTGTTTAGCCTCCACGTGTTTGTATTTTTTGCAGAATTTTTCCTATAATATCTAATCTCATAGCACTGTGGTCAGAAAAGATACTTGATATGACTTCAGTTTTCTTAAATTTACCAAGGCTTGATTTGTGACCCATGATATGATCTGTCCTGGAGAATGTTCCCATGAGCACTTGAGAAGAATGTGTATTCTGTTGTTTTTGGCTGGAATGTCCTATAAATGTCCTATAAATATCAATTAAGTCCATCTTGTTTAATGTATCATTTAAAGCTTGTGTTTCCTTATTTATTTTAATTTTGGATGATCTGTCCATTGGTTAAAATAGGGTGTTAAAGTCACCTACTATGATTGTGTTACTGTCGATTTCCCCTTTTATGGCTGTTAGCATTTGCCTTATGTATTGAGATGCTCTTATGTTGGGTGCATAAGTATTTACAGTTGTTATATCTTCTTCTTGGATCGATCCCATGATCATTATGTCGTGTCCTTCTTTGTCTCTTGTAATAGTCTTTATTTTAAAGTCTATTTTGTCTGATATGAGAATTGCTACTCCAGCTTTCTTTTGATTTACATTTGCATGGAATATCTTTTTCCATCCCCTCACTTTCAGTCTGTATGTATCCCTAGGTCTGAAGTGGGTCTCTTGTAGACAGCATACATATGGGTCTAGTTTTTGTATCCATTCAGCCAGTCTGTGTCTTTTGGTTGGGGCATTTAATCCATTTACATTTAAGGTAATTATCAATATGTATGTTCCTATTACTTTGTCTTAATTTTGGGGGTTTGTTATTGTAGGTCTTTTCCTTCTCTTGTGTTTCCTGCCTAGAGAAGGTGCTTCAGCATTTGTTGTAAAGCTGGTTTGGTGGTGCTGAATTCTCTTAGCTTTTGGTTGTTTGTAAAGGTTTTAATTTCTCTGTCGAATCTGAATGAGATCCTTGCTGGGTAGAGTAACCTTGGTTGTAGGTTTTTCCCTTTCATCACTTTAAATATGTCCTGCCACTCCCTTCTGGCTTGCAGAGTTTCTGCTGAGACATTGGCTGTTAACCTTATGGGGATTCCCTTGTATGTTATTTGTTGTTTTTGTCTTGCTGCTTTTAATATTTTTTCTTTGAATCTAATTTTTGATAGTTTGATTAATATGTGTCTTGGCGTGTTTCTCCTTGGTTTTTTCCTGTATAGGACTCTGTGCTTCCTGGACTTGATAGACTATGTCCTTTTCCATATTAGGGAAGTTTTCAACTATAATCTCTTCAAATATTTTCTCAGTCCCTTTCTTTTTCTCTTCTTCTGGCACCCCTATAATTCGAATGTTGGTGCGTTTAATGTTGTCCCAAAGTTCTCTGAGACTGTCCTCAATTCTTTTCATTCTTTTTTCTTTATTCTGCTCTGCAGTAGTTATTTCCACTGTTTTATCTTCCAGGTCACTTATCCATTCTTCTGCCTCAGTTATTCTGCTATTGATCCCTTCTAGAGAATTTTTAATTTCATTTATTGTGTTGTTCATCATTGTTTGTTTGCTCTTTAGTTCTTCTAGGTCCTTGTTACACATTTCTTGTATTTTCTCCATTCTATTTCCAAGATTTTGGATCATCTTTACTATCATTACTCTGAATTCTTTTTCAAGTAGACTGCCTATTTCCTCTTCACTTGTTTGGTCTGGTAGGTTTTTCCTTGCTCCTTCATCTGCTGTGTATTTTCTCTGTCTTCTCATTTTGCTTAACTTACTGCATTTGGGGTCTCCCTTTTGCAGGCTGCAGGTTCGTAGTTCCCGTTGTTTTTGGTGTCTGTCCCCAGTGGCTAAGGTTGGTTCAGTGGGTTGTGTAGGCTTCCTGGTGGAGGGGACTGGTGTCTGCGTTCTGGTGGATGAGGCTGAAACTTGTCTTTGTGGTGGTCAGGATGGCGTCCGCTGGTATGTTTTAGGGTGTCTGTGACCTTATTATGATTTTAGGCAGCCTCTCTGCTAATGGGTGGGGTTGTGTTCCTGTCTTGCTAATTATTTGGCATGGGGTGTCTGGCACTGTAGCTTGCTGGTCGTTGAGTGAAGCTGGGTCTTAGCGTTGAGATGGAGATCTCTGGGAGAGCTTTCACCGTTTGATGTTACGTGGTGCCAGGAGGTCTCTGGTGGACCAATGTCCTGAACTCGGCCTGATATCCAGCCAGAGCATCAAGACCCTGTCAGCCACCCGGCTCCAAACTCCGGAACTCCACTCTCCAGAGGCCCTCCTCTGGACGTGCTTCCTCTCCCCTTCCGTGCAGGTCGAAAACACTATTTTTTGATGTGTAACTTTTTGCGCGGTTTCTAATCCTAAGTCAAATTTGGGTCCATATTAACTTCCAAAAAAAGAGAAAGATACAGGTAAGGCTAAATAGTTACAAAATGCCCTCCTGAAAAGTCAGTTAAGGCTTCCTAATGTAAACGAAGAAATAATCGTTAGGAAAATTTATTTCTGTAGACCTTTGTCACTTCGCAGATGGTTTTTGCAGAGATTTGGATGTGTCGCAGGCCAAAATATCATGCTCAGAGATCACCGATTATACCTAGTAAGTGTGTAATTGTAGGTTGTCCATCCTTCAGACTAATAATTATACCTTATTTTGTTTCTAAATCTTAGGACCTGGAATAGTGTATCACTTTCAACTTTTTATTATCTGTCAAGTCCCAAGATAGGTAGTGAAATTTCAAACAAGTTCCCTGGGTTTTATTATGTGGTTTCCTTTGAAAACACAGGATCACTTATAGCATCAGATTTGAATGTCTTAGTCAAATGTGTGAAGATGAATAGTAAAAATCCTGGTGGTGATGATCAAACACTATACTTTAAGGTTTGAATAGTAAGGAAGAGTTTCTCACATATTTGAAAACTGGTGTCTCTTCATCCCATAAAGGGAGAAATAGATGAGAACAATTTTAATAATAATGACATTTCTTTTGTAATATTTAAAAGCCTCTAGTAATTTTTCTTGCCTGTGTTTCTTTCTAGGAAAAGCCATTGACAAAATCTCTACAACGTGGAGAAGACCCCCAGTTTGATCAAGTATGTAATATATATTATATACTGCTTTTTATTTGTTTGAAGATGTACAAAGGCAAGGGCTGAATGCTCACTATGGTGTATTGATGAACTTCGTCAAAGAGGATACAGGAGTGTGATCTTAGGAACTGTGTCCTGCAGCTTTGACAGTGACAGCTTGTAGTAGATGTTTAGTAAATGTCTGTTGGTTTGAATTGGAAAGAACTGAAGTGTTGAAATAATATGAGGAGGTCATCAGTCTTTGGTTACCAGAAAAGATAAAGGAATTTCCATTCAAAACCTTATTGAGATTCTTCTGAAAAAATGGTACCATATGACGATCAGATCTCTGCCCTAGAGCTTTCTTATATTTTAACCAGTGTTTTGTTGAATGCCAGCTATATGCTTGACACAGCACTAGGCTCTGGTGATACAAAATCTAGGACCAATTTTAGCAATCCTGTGAGAGAGACAGACCACCTAAGCAATAATTATAAAACAGTATAGTAACTTAGATTCTAATAAAGTGATACATGAACAAAACAGTTTTAGACAGAATAAATACAAAGAAGCTCCTTTGAAAATAGATCAGGACTAGTAAAAGAACTTCCAAGTCTAAACAGCAGGTAATAAACATAGGAAACTAGAATCTTATCAATCCTGGTTGAGTCACTTCAGGAGGGCTTTAGGTATGTTTAGAATGGTGGATAACAGGACATCAGAGGAGGTCGGAAATGTGTTTGTGGTGTTTCCTAAACGTCTGCATTTAATGACAAAGAGGACAGCATGTTCTTCTTTATAAACCTCATTTGGTGCCAGTAGCAGAGGCAAAATCGCACGGGATGCACCATGGCCTGATCTAATACAGTGGGATTTTTATATTGTCTTATGGAGAACACGCGGAGAGTACGCTTTCTGCAGTGCTTTGAAATTGCCTTTAATGTGGAATCAAGAGGAAATGCTTTGGCTGTTAAAGTTCAGACTTGTTCGATCCAGAAATGTTAAGGCCTGACTATAGAGACAGAATCCTCCATTCTCTATTTTATAAACTGTTGGCTGAGGGAGACCTCACAAGTTTGCTGTCACGGCAGGTCTTGGAAGGCTGGTGCGGCCCTGGCTTTGCGCTCTGCTGCTGGCAGAGCTGGCTGTTCTCTGGAACGCTGGTGGAATGGAGTATGGGCTTCGTCTCTCTGTGCCATGGAGCTGACTTCTTTCCTCATATTATCCTTAGTTGCTGTTACCTGGTCCCGCTTGGGAGGTCAGGGACCTGGGGTGAATGTTTGGGGTCGTTATTTTCGAAATGTGGCACGTGTGGCTCTTTCTGTTCTCCTTAAGAACGTAAATATTATCTGTCTTCCATAATTTTCCACTCTATTTTATTTTCTTTGTCTCTTTCCTCTTAGATTATCACTGTCCTTTCCTCAAAAAACTTGTGTTTTCTTTTTCTCCAGCTTAGTGTACTTCTTTCTTTTTCCTCTGGGAGAATGGTACTTTAGCATTTTAACATTACATATAATAGTTATCCCAAATAATTTGGCTTAGACACAATGTCTCATTTATTATTCAGCACTCTATTTCTGCATTTCAGCATTGTGGGAAAGAGATCGACTTTGGGGTTTAAATCCCAACTTTGCCACTTAATTAGCTATAATACTTTTAACCTTGCTGCTCAAAATGTTGAAATGCAGAATCACTGCCCTGCCTTGATATACTGAGTCAGATTCTGCAGCTTAACGAGATCTCCAGGTGACCCCCACCCACATTGATGCTTGAGAACCACTGCTTGTAACACATCTCTGTGTATTAAAGACACTTTAGGGGTGAACCAGTAGTGAGTTGGTCACTGAGGACTTTCAAATAAGGCACATGAAATTATCCTCTGATTGTAAAATCATAAATTTATGCGTGAACCATGAGAGAAGACAACCTACAAAGTTGGTCTCATTTTAAAGAGATAGCAAGATCCCCAGGCCAGAAGGAAATGTGACTGAAGTTGGTCTCTCTGTGGATTCAGTGAAAAAGAAAGTCAGCCAAGTCACCTTTGAAAGTGCCCGTCCACTGTTTCAACAGCAAATTATAAGCATTGTGGTTCTATTGGCAAGGCTGTGAATGTATCAAGCTCTCTTAGGGTTTTGATATCAAAGGTCCAACTTCTGTAATTCCCCTTATTCTGATTCCAAGCAGGAGGATGTTATTCTGGGGTCACACAAGTCCATCTACGGGAGAAGAACACGCTGGTGACACCTCCTTGGAGCTATAGCCTCCATTGCTCTACTCCCGGGAGCAGTGGTACCCACAGAAGTGACATTTATTTAGTACTTACCATAGGGGAGGCACTATGCTAAGTGCCTCCTTTGGACAACGGACGACTGGTCCCTGTTTAGAGAATATTTTTATCAATTTCTCCCTTTTAAATGTCCCTGGCATGAGTGATAGGCTAAAGAGAGCTGGGCTTCACTTTCAGTGCCTGATCCCGGGTGGCCCTGTTTAATCCTCCACTTGCCAAGCCCAGGATTCATTTTTCTCCTGTTAGAAATAGAAGCAAAAACAAAATAACAAGAATCATGTAATACTTTATAATTAACCAAGCCTCTTCTTAATTCTGTTATATTATCATTTTTATTATTTTGGTCACACTGCACGGCATGCGGGATCTTAGTTCCCCGACCAGGGATCGAACCTGTGCCCGCTGCAGTGGAAGCGCAGAGTCTTAACCCCTGGACCACCGGGGAAGTGCCTTACCAAACCCCTTCTCACGTATTGTGTCACCTGACATTACTCAACCCTTGCAACAAGCCCAAGAGGAAGGTCTGATCATCATCTCTGTGTTACAGCTAATGGAAATGAGTCCTGGAGAGGGTGCCCTATATTATATGACTAAAGCCTGAAGGGACCGAGACTGGAATCCATATGTTCTAACTATAAAGCCTGTGCTTTTTACTCTGTAACATGCTTATATTTTTAAAAACTAAGTTGGTGAGAATTTAGAGGGGAGTTTTCAACAGGTAATGGACCTAAGGTCCCATATCAGTTAAGATTAGGTTTGGTGGCAAATGGCACATAAAATAACAGTGGCTTTAACAAGATAAAAGTTTATTTCTCTCTCACATTGAAGAAGTACAAAGAAAATCAGTCCCGTATCTTTATGTTTTTCTTTTCCTGTGTATGGCTTACATTCCCAAGGTCATCTCATGGTCCACTTTGGCTTCTGGAGCTCAGCTGTTACATCTGTGCTCCAGGCAGCAGGAAGGTGAAATGGAAAAAGAATCACAGAAAAAAAACCCCAGAACATCCTTACAGTGCACACGCTACTTCTGCTTATGTCCAGTTGACTAGATCTTAATCACACAGCCACATATACCTATAAGAAAGATGAGGAAATTTTATTTTGGGCAACCATGTGTCCATCTAAAAATGAGATATTTTATAACTAAGGAAGAAGAGAAGAGTGGATATTGGGTATTACCTGGCTCTACTAGATATTATGTAGCCTATTTTTTGTCAAAATTCCCAGTAAAGAGTATTATGTAAAATTCTCTGCCTCTTTTTTTTCCACTGTGGAAATCTCTGAGAATTTGTCAGCTTTCCAGTTTGAATTTTAAAACATATATTTAGAGGTTAAAGCTTTGTGTTTCCTTAAGTTTTCTGTTGCTTTTCTGTTTAATTAACTGTTGGTTTAATATCTCTTATTTAACCTAATTACAATCTAAACATGTATAGAATAGACTTGGTTAAAAAAAAAAAAACCCTCTTGTTTCATAAATGACAAGATGTCTAAACAGGATTAATTTTTTGAAGCTCCCTGTTAGTGGGAGAAGAACTGTACCAGTGACTACTTTGTATATTGGAGAGCTAGGAATTTGTACCCTAATTCCCAGAGTTTCACTTTTACAAATGTTATGAATGTGAACTTGACCCATTCTTACACGGTACCTACCTTGTGGCAGCTGTGTGCCAAACATTATGCCAGCTTGTGGAAATAAACATGAAGGAAACAGTGCCAGCCCTGGAGAGGCCCCGTCTAGTGTGAGAGACAAAGAAGAAAGATGTAAATCAGATAAATTATAACCTCAGTGTAGTAAGGAAGCTCACAGTGGAAGAAGCAGGCATGCTGTGAACCTGAGAGCAAGCTTTGCCCTATACTAGGGAGCCAGGGAGGGCTCTCAGTTCCTGCTGGTGAGAAAGTCATACGGTAATGAGAATTAATAAAGGTGATGAGATTTCCAACAGCATTTTGAAAATGTACACTGCTACTAATTTATTTTAAATGCCTAAATTAACCCTCAGCACTTAGAAAGCAAAATAAATGAAAAATTGTCCTGGTAATAAAGTTATTTTAGCAAACATTTATTAGGTGAGTGAGAGCGTGTGTGTATGTATGTGTGTGTACATGTACAACAAAGTCCTGTGTGGGACAAAGAGATGTAAGAATGTGGTCCCTGCATTCCAGGTAGGAAGGGTCAGACTGTGGAAGACCTTGATGCCAGCAGGTGGGGCCTTATCCTCTACATGCCAGTATCAAAGTGATCAAAGTGCAGCCTTGATTTTAAACCCCGACTGGAGAGATCCTTAAAGTTTGGAGGCATTTTGGGAGTTGGGGCATCGATAAAGATTTGAGGCTAAAATGGAGAAGGTGGAACTAGAAAGAAAGAATGACTATAAGCAACATTATGTAAGAAGAATCAATATTGGTTGAGAGAAGGAGAAACAAAAGGTAACTGCAGTTTTCAGCCATGATTTGGAGCCATTTCCATTCAATTTAACAAACGTTGAGCACCTGAATCATGCCAAGGTCTGTGCAAGGTGCTGGGGTTACAAAGCAGTAAGCAAGAGTTTCTGCTCTCCAGAAATTCTCAGTCCCAGGAGGAGGACAGATACCTAAACAAATAGTACTGTGATGTAAATATAATAAGAAGGTACAGTTCAAGTGCTGTGGGAACTCAGGTAAGGGAGTAGTTAAGGATGCTAGAAAGGTGGGGTGGGGGGGAGTGTCGTAGGAAGCAGTGACATAGTAAAGATATCTG